AGCTCGAAGACCATTTGCTGGGTTTGGATTCAAAGTCGGCCCCGTCGCTAGCGCCGCAGAGCTGGCGTGCGCTGCGCCTGCGCTCAGTCGTCGGCATGCAATGTGTGATTGCTAGGCTGACTTCTTGAAGAATCAGACTTGGACGTCCTGGCTTTGCGTGCGCGTCTGCCTTCGTGAATTTCGCGAGCCCGACGACACTTCCGTTGTGCCCGGAGAAGGGGCACCTGAAAATTGCATGAGCTCGATTTCTGCGTCTTCGTGATCTGAGCCCGCGTTCCAGGACCCTCGCCCCTTGAATCCAGTGGTTCCCCCCAGAGCTCCTCACAGTGTGACGAACAGAGTTTTTCCAAAATCCAAGATTTGCCAATCGCCTACTGCCTCCATCCACTGATGTCTCACATATTAATTCTGCTTGCAGGTCGTGGCCCACGGCCAGGGAATATCGACGGGCTTGTATTTCACCCGGGCTGGGTTGTGGCCTGGGGGCCCGTGACATCATGTGCCATATGTTCGAGTGCCCTGTCCTGCTTCTCCTTTTGTCGCTCGTGCTTCCTGTTTCTCCTCCGTCGTGTGTCTCTACCTCTGCTCCATCTCTCTCTCTCTCTCGTTTTTACCTTTCTGATCTCCCCACCTGTCGCAAGACCAGTGGCTCGTTCGGCTGCCGGTGCATGACTCGGTTATCGATACCTTTGATGTGTAAAGAGTCTCGGGGCACCAGGGGCCCCGAACCGATTCGCAATCTCTTGTGCGCAAGAGCCCGCGTTTTAGCCGAGAGGCCGATTCGATGCAGGGCTCTTCGCATGTCACGTTATCATCCTCACCATTTTATCTTCTTACCATCGATTTGGTCATAATCATCATATGGTCACCATACTCGTCATATGGTCATCATAAACATCACCAACATAATCATCATATGGCCATCATCGTTACCATCCTCCGAACTCATTCCATCGCTCACATTCACTCAGCGCGAACCCATTCACCATCGCGCCATGATCATCGCCGTCGTCCTCATCATCTTCGGCATGCCGTCGCAAGCATAACATTTGAGTCCCCCAGGGAACCTCGTCTGTGAGTGAATTGCAAGGAAGCCTCCGGCGGGGGCCCTTCGAGGATTCTTGTATCTGTCGTCATTCTGGGGCTCTTCAGGCTTGAATATTCAGGGAGCGGTCTCAGGCGGGGGCCTCGTCTGTTAGTGATTTGCGGGGGAATCTAAGGTGGGGGGCCCTTCCCTGTGGGGCCAGCGTTTCACGTTGGCAATCCGAGCGGGGCATCGGATTCCTTGCGCCGTCGTCTATTTTGGGCGCATCAGGTTTCAATATGGAGAGGATTTCGTTTCATGTTGGGAATCCGAGCGGGTTGCCCTCAAGCATGTATTTGTCGTCCCTTGTGTGCTTCTGAGGCGTGAGTATCGAGGAAGTGTCAGGCGGGAACCTCGTCTGTGAGTGAAGCGTGAAGAAGTCTCAGGCGGAGGCCCTCTCCCTATGGTGCCGCATTTCATGTTGAGAATCCGATCGGGTCATCCTCAAACTTGTATTTGTCGTCACTTTTGAGTTCTTGAGGCTTGAATCTTGAGGACGTTTCAAGCGGGAACATCGTCTGTGAGTAAATTTCGAGGAAGTATCAGGCGGGAACCCCATCTTTATGGGGCCCACGATTCACGATGGCAATCCGAGCAGACCATCGGATTCTTGTAACCGTCATCATTTTTGGGTTCTTCAGGCTTGAATCTTAAGGAGGTTTCCGGCGGGGGCGTCGGGGGTTGCTCCAACGGCTGGTTCCCGCGCCCCCAGCGGTTCGCGGGGTTGTCTCAACGGCCTGGCCCCCGGGGTTGCCCCAACGGCTTCGTGATCCGGCCATCGGAGGAGAAAACGCCCGTTACGACCGTGGCGGCGAGGGTGCCGAGGAGCATCGACATGCGTGCCCTGGCCAAGAGGACGGAGAGGTGTACGAAGAGAACAGGTGGAATGGACATTAGGAGAAGGAGATACAGGGAAAGGAAAAGCAGGAAGAAGAGGAGGAAAAGGAGGAGGATGAGGAAAACAAGGGCGATGAGGAGAAACATATGTGGAACGAGGAGGACGAGAATGCGGTGGGGACGGAGGACGAGGAATATTATTATTATTGTCATTATTATTGTTATATTTATTACTATCATTCGTACCATCATTATTATTATTATTGTTTTGATCATTACTACGATTACGAGGAAGAGGAAAACAACACAGGAAGACAATGATGATGATTCTGATGACGATGAGGAGGAGACGAAACCGATGGCGGGAACTCCATCAGGGCCAAAGGGAACTATTGAGTGACAAGCTAACTGTCAATCATCGTGCGGGGTCGTACTATCGGAATAATTTGTTTGTTTGTTCGTTTGCTCGTTTGGTCGTTAGCTAGTCTCGTTTGGTTCATATTTCAGTGCGTAGGGGACGTTATCGGGCCCCGATACCATTCAAAAAACGCATGGCGGCGAAATTCCGGTCCGAGGGCTGGGGGCAACGGTTTGCGCTGTCTCCGACGAATAAAAGGAGGAACTTCTGCTGCGATCGCAGTCGCTTGGGCCTCGAATCCCACGCAGTTGGACCAAGTGTAAGGCGGAATTCGTTCCACGCAACCGGCGCAACGGGTCACGCCGCGCATACATTGTACATTTTTCTGAGTCTGGCACGGGTGTCAGCCATTCCCTTCTGATCCCAATTGGCCGTCCCACGCGTGGGAGCCACGTGGAACCGACCTCCCATCCCCTTCCTCCGCCGAGTTGGGTTTGTGATTTAATATGCGGCCGGCCCAAGTTCGCGGCATGGCCTTGACTGACCCCTGTTAGCGGTGACCCGGATTAGCGCGTCCCCGATTGGGAGGAAAGGAGGGTCCAGGGGTACGAGGAAGGAGGGAGGGGCGAGCGGGCGGGGGGGAGGGCTGGGAGGAGAGGGAGAGGAAGAGGAAAAGGAGGAGGAGGAGGAGGAGGAGGAGGAGGAAGAGGAGGAGGAGGAGGAGGAAGAGGAGGAGGAGGAGGAGGAGGAGGAGAGTAGGAGGTGGAGGAGGAGGAGGAGGAGGAGGGGATGGGAGGAGGAGGGGGAGGAGGAGGAGGAGGAGGAGAGGAGGAGGTGGAGGAGGAGGGAGGAGGAGGAGGAAGAGGAAAGGGAGGAGGAGGGGAGGAGGAGGAGGAGCAGGAGGAGGAGAGGAGGAGGAGGAGGAGGAGGAGGAGGAGGAAGAGGAAAGGGAGGAGGAGGAAAGGGAGGAGGAGGAATGGGAGGAGATGATGATGATGAGGAGGAGGAATAATAATAATAAGAAGAAGACACAGGAGAAGAATAAGAAGACGAGAAGAAGAAGCAGAAGAAAAGGATGAGGAGAAAAGGAGGAAGGAGGAGGAGGAGAGGAGGAGGAGGAGAGGGTGGACGAGATGAAGGAGGAACGGGAGGAGGAAAGTGAGGAGGAACGGGAGGAGCGAAGGGAGGAGGACAGGGAAGAGGAGGAGGAGGAGGAGGATGAGGAGGAGGAGGAGGAGGAGGAGGAGGAGGAGGAGGAGGAGGAGTATCGAGGAGGATCGAGGAGGAGGAGGAGGAGGTGGAGGAGGAGGAGGAGGAGGATCAAGGAGGAGAATGGGAATGGGAATGTCAGTTCACTAAGTGAGAGGAAAACGGCCTTACACCTGGGGGGACGACCGTGCTGACTCTTGACGAGCGGCCTTCTCAGCTCTGCTGAGGACCTTCGGCCACAAACCTCGGTCAATTCGGTTTAAATACTCCTCCCCAGTGCCTGTGGCCTGACGTCGACACGGCTTGTGAAGCTCGCTCGCTCGCTTGCTGGAGAAGGAGCCACAGACCTTGCAAAACCACAAATTCAGCTTAACCGACACATTCATAATGTGAGTATAGTGGACCCAGCCCCCCGCTAATTCAAGTCTAGCACCTACAGGTTTAGTGTTATAACGCTCATTCAAAACCAGGGGCCTGAAACACGGGCTCGCTTTCCATTGCAGGGCGGTGGCCTGCGTAGCAAATCCAAAACACCTGAGGCACCGAAGGGCCCCCCTCGTCTAAGGAATGACTGGTGACAAAATTAGCTACAGCTCTCACTGACGGAGGATGAGGAGGAGGAGGAGAGGGAGGAGGTGCCTCCTTCTTCCTCGTCACGTCTCCCGCCTCGAAGCTGTCGAGAGTCGAACGCAGCAGCCTATGACGCACAAGGTATGCCTGTCGCTCAACTTCGTGAAGCCGCTGCGTATCACCTGCTGGAACTCGTACACCCAGGGCTGCCTCGCCCACTAGTGCATCCACGGCCGTGTTGCCTAACACCTGCCGCGACTCTGCTTTCCTATCCACGATATGCTCGCCCGTCAGATGAGAGTGAATAAAAATCGACCTGGAAATCTGAACTGCTGCGGTGCTGTAGAAGTACGCCAATCTGAGCCCACACGTCTCCATCGGGACCACTGGGGTGAAGATACTTGGCCAAACACCACCCGTCGTACACAGACTTACAATCCGTCGTGAACCGAACATGACCTTGAGATGCAAACACCGTAAGCCACAATGCCTTGAGTTCTCCACGCGCAACGGTCTGACGAGTGCCAGCGAGGCCTCCGACAACAACGGCATCTATGACCAGCGGGTGAAACTTGCTGATCACCACGATGCCCACAGCAACCCGTCGTGTCCTTGGGTCCGCCGTGTCTGGACCCCCGCTGGCGTCTCCAAAGATCAGCGTCGGCGCGTCGGGCGTGCCGCGCGGCAGGCACTGTGGGCCGAAGCTGTTGATGCCGTCGTAGTCCCAGTCGTCGCTGAACTGCGGGCTGGGCATGACAGTCCAATCCTTGGGTATTAGGCCTCTCAGCCAGAAACATGGCGTCTGCTCGTGCTGCGCACACGCCTTGGGTACTATGCAATCGCTCTGAGAATAAGCTGGAGACCCACTGTTGCACCTGTAAATCCAGGCTCTGTGGACAGATGTCTCCCGCTCCTCCCCACAGCGGTCGCAAATATCCAGACCTTCTGCATAGTGGGTCGTGGGCTTGACGTACTGGTCTGCCTTGCGCGCCTTGGTCCACGAGCCCCCTATCGCCACCGATAACATGATGCCAGCCAATCTCTTGCCAGCGGGTCGAACCTGAGCGAGGCGCGCCAAGAGTCGCCGATACGAGAAGCTGTCGGTGCCGAATCTGAGACCCTCTCCGTCGAAGTGCTGCTCAGCGCCAAGCCAGAACGGAGCCATCGCTGCATCCTTCACCTCGTCTAAGAAGTCGCGGAATGTCGCCATGTCGATGGCCTCAACGCCCGAGAAGTTGCAGCCGGGGAGCTCCCAGCTGGTGTCGCCTGGAGGGTCCCAGGCTGTGGGGGATCTCGGCACCCACTGAAACTCCAAGAGATGGTTGATGATGGCCCCCATGGGTCCACGAATATGCCTTGACCTGAGGTTGGGCGCCATCTGCTCGAGCTTGCTACGCAATTTCGGCCACGCCTGTCGGATACTGGCACGGACCTCAGGATGCGCATGCCAATTCTTCAGCCACATGGAGAAGGTAAGATACGTGAATCGCGCTGCGGGGTCCTGGCCGTGCGCCTCGAGCTCCAACAGGGTCGTGAGACACCTGCCCTTGGTCTTGGCATGGCATGCCGCTCCAAGGCGCCTCCTGTAATTGACAAGCTCCTGTCCCGTGACACCAAACGCTTGGAAACCGTAGCTTCCCGCTGCCTGTGCACCTTGCCTCTCCAGTCGTGACGTGAGCTGTGACCTGCGCAGCGTCCTCACAAACTTGACTACCGCGATGTGTGCCGAGCCGCTGTGACCAGCACTCCACGAAGCCTGAGAGCCCGTACAATCTCCGTAGCGTTTGAGAATTTCGAACACACAATTACCGATTTACCTGCCAACTTCAGGCCCTGCTGCTGGAGGCCACGCGCCGTGTCAATCACACAGCTGACTAAGTCCCGCTTGACCTGCTGCTGGGAGCCCTTGGTGGACTGCGAAGTATCATCAATCCATAATCGGTGCGAGCGCTGAACGTGTGCTGTGGAAACCTTGTCCATCACGAAGTACTTACGAATGCGAGCAAATCTGGTGCCGGACCGTAGGCCTTGAATGATGCTGCATGTCGCTTCGAAGGCCTTCGAATATGAATCAATCTGATGCAGAGAACGAGGGTGTGCACATTGCAATATCTCAAGGAAGAGGACCACGGGCGGGAACTCAAGACGGATAGCTGCAACAACCAATTTGAGCCAAAACATGTTGTCGTAGTGCCCGTCGATATCGGCCAACGAGTGTCCGCGCGAAATGCCCAGAACCCCCGCAGTCTCTTCGTCCAGGACACGCCTGAACGCCTCACCGAGCGACGAGTTACCCCTGGCCGCGGCGCCCCAGTGGGGCTCTGACCGAGACGACCAAGAACGGACCCATGGTTCGCGACTCGTACTCCACACCCGCGACAACATCGAGATGAGGCCGATGACGTGGTCCCCTGACACCTTCTTGGGGAGCAACCGACTTATGACCAACATGGTTTGCGCTGGCCACGCCAAGAGGTGCTCAATCGAGTTGAGCAAGGGCGCCAGCTCCTCGAGGCCCTGGTCGGGTAGCCTCTCCATGTCGCAAGGCGCGAGACGGTCGACGCCCAGTCCAGCCCTAGATTTCATCGCCTTCAAAGCTTTCCGAAGATCGGGAACCTCAAGGACGGGAAGAGGATCAGTGTTCAAGACGGCCTCCCGAGCCACCTCCAGAACGTTACCCAGGGCCTCGGAAGGGTCAGCGATAGGCGTAGCCCATTTACGATGCCACCTCCTAGCCTTGCAGTCTGCAGTGTCCTTCGGGTGAAAGACAACATCTGTGCCGTCGAAGATTTCCAAGGCTGGCACGGGATCTTGACGCATGGCCTTGTGGAGGCCTCCCAGGCCAGCCTCGGAAACAGCCCAATCACGAAACTCACGAATGGATTCACTCACAGCTCGCCGTTGGGCCCGCTTCATAACCTTATCCGGAAACTTGGAAAACATCCTGCAGCATCTGGACGGCGCAAGACTGAATAGCAGAAAGTGCACTGACCCATTCAGACCACGGCGGCCCAAATCCTTCCCGCAAAGCGGTATGAACTAGCTCAGGTCGGTCTTCAATTGGGTGCACACATGCTTGCTCTAACCGTCGCTGCTGATCCTTACCATTGTCACGAAGTCGGTGACGAGCAAGCGCACTCAAGACGGTGTGGAGACGGGTCCACCAACCCGCAAGAACGTCTCGAAGGGGGGGTGACCCGAGCCTTATCAGAGATCCTGACCTCCTGCACCTGGAAGACTGGTGTGGAGGCTCTGCGGGACCCACGGGGACTCGGATGCCCATGATGCTGACAAGTAGTGCCCTCTACCGCCGAGACCCAAGACGCGTACATCCCCGAGACGGTGATCACGCTGGCCCGGTTCTCCTGGAACGCGGCGGAGTCCAGGATGTACGGAGGGGGGGAAGAAGGAGAGACAAAACAGAAATCTACGGAGGCACGCCGGGCCTCCCACACCTCCAAGGGTATGCTGTACGAGGGTTCAGCCTTGTGGCTGTCATCGGGGGGCTGGGTCGACCTCGAATTCATATCGGAGCTAGCTTGCCCACCTTCGGGCACGGCGGGATCCCCGCGGTTCCCCGCCGGCCCCCCCGAACCGCTCGGCTTCCGCAGAGACCCCGAGGAGCGCCCGCTTCCACCAGCATCCTCCGAGGGGTGAGGGCTAGCCACCGAGCCTATACAAACAGAAGACGCACCCTGCTCAACCTGCTTGTTACCAGGTTCGCCGAGTGCCACATCAGAACAGAAATTTAACTCGTGGGCCCAAGGGTCCTCTTCGGAACAGATGGAGGCCTCTTGGAGATCAAACATTGCACTGTAACGCTCGTCTCTAGCCTGAGCTGACGACTGACTGGTGAGAGCACGCTGCTGGCGGGCTCTACTAGCCTTGGAGTGCGGATCTGGCTCTTGTCCTGGCCGAGGTACCTGCGGCAACTTGGCAGCTATGAATAACACTCGTGTTAGCAGCTGCTCGCCCGTCTGCCGAAACTGCACCTTCAAACCAATGTGGGTTTGCCACGGAACCGCCTCCAGTGGTTGAACAGACTTGATGAAGGAGAGCGCGGATGTGGAACATACAATGTAGTCAATATGTGAGCCATTAGGGCCCGCGTTGCATGTGTATTGAACCTCAGCGGTGAGAATGTGGCCGCCAACCCTGCTCACGAAATCGGACTTCGCGAGCGCGGCCGCACTGACATTGAAATCAGCAATCACCACCCATGGAATCTGCAACGACAACAGTAGTCCTCCCAACTTGCGGAAGCGGAGGATGTTGGCTCCGCGGAGCCCGATGCTGCTATGCCCGTAGAAGGCGATCAGCGCGAAAGCGTAGCCCTTCATGTGGACAACCGTTGCCTTGAACCCGTCCGCTACACTCTCACGTTCGTGCTGGAGCGCCGTCGTCTCGGCCAGTGCCAGCGAGTGGACTTGCAGGTGCCCCCGAGCGAGTATCCACTCCCCACCTTCATTCGCATGTCCACTCATGGACGAGGCCGATGTCGTCGACTTTGTAGGTCGGGCTGGCGTGGCGAACAATCTCAAGCCTCGCTTCCTCGCAGCTGCATCATGCTTGCGTAAATCTGCATTGCCCACGTGTGTCTCAACGAAGGCGAACATTTGTACTTGCTTGCACTGATCTTCCTTGAAAGTCCAATTACGGTCGCCCATGCAGGTGATGTTGCCGAACACCAAGGTAGACACCCCCTCGTCTCTTGTGACGCGCGGCAAAGATAGAGATGGAGAGGTACTCGCCCCAGTCGCCGAGCTCGCCCTTGAGCCGCTTGACTGGCGCGACCTGCAGGAGGGGGCACGGGTGCTGGCCGAAGAGTCAGCACTGGGAGAACGCCACAACTCAGCAGGCATCGGAGTCGTGGCCGATGACGCGTAATCTGGTAAGCTCCCTGAAGCCGCTGACGCCGATGGGGAGGAGGAGGAGGAGGAGGAGGAGGAGGAGGAGGAGGAGGAGGAGGAGGCCTTGAATCACTTGCCGGCCCGCGCGCCTGCCGAGGGGGCCCCATCTGCCGGCCCCTCGCCGACGCCCCTGCCGCTGCTCCTTGCCCCTGCGCGACGCGGCCTTGGCCGTCTCTGCTGCGATCTTGGCCTGGGAGATCTTGGCCGCCTCGGCGCGGATGGCCGCCTCCCTCTCCTCTCAGGGGGTGAAAAAACACACAGACACAATTAATCGTCGATTCCCAGAAAATATGCGAAAATATGGGAAGTGGGGGCGAAGACAAAAACCCAGAAAATATGGGAAAATATGGGGAATCCTTTTATTTGTGTGTATTTATTTGTGTGCCCCAGGGCCCCTTCATCAGCACGGATGGCCGCCTCCCTCTCCTCGCGGGCCCTCTTGGCCTCTGGGGCCTCGGCCGCCGCTGGGGAGGCCTGGGCGGGACCGGCTCCACTGCCGCCTTCTCCGCCCGCTGGGACCTGCGCCGTCTCCTCCTCCGCAGCGGGCTCCGCGCGCCTCTTCTTGCGGAGCCTCTCGTTGACCGTGGCCTTGACCTCCGCGGCCTTCTCGAGCCACTTCTCGGCCTCGCGGTTGCCCAACAACTCACGCGCGCCCTCGAGCTCCTTCTTGAGCTTCATCATGGCCTGCTTCTCGTCCTCTTCGAAGCCCTCAAGGTCCTCGAAGAGCTTCTCGTCCCAAGACAGATTGAGCTTCGGTCCGACAGCTCCACCCGTAGCTTCGGCAACTACACCCTCTGCCGCCGCCAGGTGCATGACGGCCTCCTTCCTCGCAGCCGTGGCGACCACGAGCGCCTGCGCCGCGGCGGCCTCCTTGGCCTCTGCGGCGGCCAAAGCGCCGCGCAATCGCACCACCGACTTGACTGCCTGGTCGTGCTTGGTCTCGGCGTCCCTGAGGGCGGCGTCCGCCCTGCGGGCATGCTCGACGGACGAAGCCGTGGGAGCCGTAGCCTGCTGGGGCTGCAACTTGGCCAGCTCCGCCTCGAAGGTCGCCTTCAGCACTGGGTCCGTCGCAGCAGCAATGGCCGTCCTCAGCAAGTCTGGGACTGACGGCTTCAAGATTGACTTGGGCTTCGCCTCATCCGTGTCGGCCAGCTTGTTGTCTTCGAACGACACAGAGCGGTCACGAGACTGCGACCTAGGACGGTGAAGGCGGACTTGTCGACTGCATCGGAGACACCGTCGATCTCGCTGCAGTAGCTTGGTATTCCACTCTGTCGTGCCACAACCATTGCACTTGGACTATAATCGATCTGTTCCTGCCATGCCTCTGCTTAGCCGCCGCAGCTGCCCGCCTCCTGCGCGGCAGGCGATGCGGCGCCCCTCAAGCGCTGCGCGGAAGCGCAGAGGCGAGCACGGACGGGATGTGGTAGGGTATGAAAATCCCCAAGTACCCTCACCCTCCCGCTCGTGCCCAGATTGCTTGAGGGAGGATCAAGGAGGAGGAGGAGGAGGAGGAGGAGGGGGAGGAGGAGGAGGAGGAGGAGAATGAGGAGGAGGAGGAGGAGGAGGAGGAGAGGAGGAGGAGGAGAATGAGGGAGGAGGAGGAGGAGGAGGATCGATGAGTATCGAGGAGGAACGAGGAGGAGGAGGAGGAGGAGGAGGAGAAGGAGTAGGAGGAGCAGGAGGAGGAGGAGGAAGAGGAGGAGGAGGTGGGAGGAGGGAGGATGGAGGAGATGCCTGCCCTCGGCGCCGCACCGGCCCTTCCCGCTCTTCCCGCCGTCGGGGCACGGCTGGGGCGCGCGCGCCTCGGCGCTCGCTGGCCCGGCGGGCCTCCGCGGGCAGGTCCCGTCGAATGTCGAGCTGGACGCCATCCTGACGGCCGGGGGGTGGGCTCAGGGGATGCCGATGGTAGAAGAAGAATAATCATACTAACCAGTATTCTTAATAGTAGCAGCAATAATAGTAATAATAGTAACACTAATAATAATACTTATTATAATAATAATACTTATAAGACTATTATTCATACTAATGTTAATAATAATAATAATAACAATCATAATATTACTAATACTAATAATGATAATGATAATGATGATACTAATACATAATAATAAGAAGAATAATAATCATCATAGTGAAAAGTGAAATTAAGAATAATAATAATAATACTAAGAAACATCATCATAACAAAATATCATCGCCCAGGGGCGAGCATGACATCATAATAATTAACATCATAAGAAACGTCATCATAATAAGAATAAGAAACATCATAGCCCAGGGGCGGGCATTACACGTATTCGCCTGGGAACCTCGCCGAAGGCATGGGCCATCGGCAGCCCTAGATGCATGCATTGCTCTCCCCTGGGCCATTCGCCCCCGTTGTCGCCCCTGGGAAGGGGGATGGGCTCAGGCGGGATGGGCTCAGATTCGAGGGGGACATGCAGCAACAGAGGGTCACGAGCGGCGGACGTGTCCGTATCCGCGCCCCCGCGGTCTGGATTCCCTGGCGCGATCCCGCGCACATGCTGTCGCGAGGATACGTTCCGCGCGGGGCGTATGCGAAAACACGGACCGTATCCGCGAGCCCGCGGCCCAGGAACCCGGCCAGCGAGGCTGCGCATACGGATGTATGTATATAAACATATTATATATAATTATAATTATATAATTCTATGAGTGTGTTTGCCCATGAGGAGGGTTGGGAGGCCGTTTTTAGAGTGCATTTGCATGTGCTTGCGTCTGGTAGCCCATGAGAACGCACCGATTTAGCTTCGATTAGCGTCGAGTGTGTGTCGATTAACAGCGAATGAGCGTCGACCAGTGCCGATTAGCGTTGATTCTCAAGAGCCAGCAAGATGACATGGGAGGCTCCCGTGAGTTGCCACAGAAGGGGAGGGAGGGGAGGGGCGGGGGGGGTGGAGGGCGCAGGAGGGCGCAGGAGGGCGCAGGAGGGGGAGGAGGATGACAGGGAGGAGGAGGAGAAGGAGGAGGAGGAGGAGGAGGAGGAGGAGGAGGAGGATCCCATCAGGAGCCGCCAGGCCGAATAGAGGCGTCAGGAGCGTCACTGGGCGTCAGGCCAATAGAGGCGTCAGGCTGAATAGAGACGTCAGGCCGAATAGACGCGTCAGGAGCGTCACCGGGCGTCAGGCAAAAACAAGCGTCGCCGCGGCTCTTTCGACAAATCGAGTCTTCAAATGGCATGTTCCTGGTCAGGCATTCCTGCACACCCCCCGGGCCCCTCCCCTGTGTATATACGGATTTTTTTGATACTGATAATGATTATTATTAGAACCATTATTATCATTTCTATTTTTACTATAATTATTATTACCAACATTATTATTATGATTATTATTATTACTATTATTATTATTATTATTAAAAGTATTCGTATCATAATTTATCACATTTATTTGCATTCATGTATTATCATATTTTTTTCATGGGTATTAGTCGTAGTACCATTTTTATGATTGGACTTGTTATTATACTATATATCATTGTATATCTATGTATATACATGTGTATATGTAGATTCAAGCATCTATGCTTTTAAGCCCATCAGGACTGCGTCAGACTGCGGTTGTGATCTGCTGGCGTGAGTCCGGTTTCTATTTTCGGGCCCTCCCGGAAGGTGAGGACAGAGGCCCTCCTGCCTTCCGGGGCGTCTTCTCGGGAGCCTGCGGGCCCTCTCGGGGAGGCCCCCTCGACCTCCTCGGGGGGCCGCCCCCCTCGCGCCCCCCCCCCCCGGGGCCTGTTGGGGGGCTTCTCCGAGGGGTCAAGGAGGGGGAGGAGGAGGAGGAGGAGCCCGCGAGACCAGCCCGCCTTTGGAGAGCGGCAGGCCCAAACGAACAGCTAGTGTCAAGCCCTTGGCAACCATCAGGGGTAGCACGGTCAATACAATCATCGTCATCAGCAGCTGCATCAGAATCAGCATTAGCATCAGCATCATCATCATCATCATCATCATCATCATCATCATCATCATCATCATCATCATCATCATGTTCATCAGCACCATCCACATCATCATGATCAGCATCATTATCATCAGCATCATCGCCATCATCATCACACTCATCACTATAACCATCGCCATCACCACCATCATCGTCACCATCATCAGCATCATCACCATGACCATTATCATCATCATCATCGTCATCATCGTTATCATCATTATCATCATCATCAGCATCACAACCACCACCATCGACATCGCCAGCATCATCATCAACATCATCATCATCAACATCATCATCATCATCATCATCATCATCGTCGTCATCATCACCATCACCAGCAACATCATAATCATAATCATAATCATAATCATAACCATAATCATAATCATCATCAGCAGCACCAACATCAGCCGCATCATCATCACCACTATCATCATCTTGTATTGGAGTGATACACGTTCGTTTCGGGTGCTCTCGGTGCACATGCCAACCGCTTGGCTACGAGAGGCTGACGCCGAGGCGATGTACAAGGGGACATGTCGTCATGCAAAACATCCCTGTCAAGGTGCAAAAGCATCAATGTCAAGCCTTCTTGGATGTACCGTTGGTGGGGGTTTCAATGCTTCTGGTCGGAGCAGCAGGTGGCTTGGTGGACCACGCGCACATCGGAGAGCCCGGGCTCCGGCGACCAGCATCAAACGGGGGACGATTTCGCGGCGTGGGCGGCAGAGGGGTCGGACGCACGCCTTCTCCCAGCCTGGCATGCGGGTCTTGGACACGCCTCGCCTCCTGCACGGATGCAACGGTGAGCGCTCGCACAACATGCTTGGCATTGCTCGGACGTGTGCATTTTTTCTTTCGGCGGGGACCACCGAGGAGCATCCTTGATCACTTGGCGAAAAAAACACGCACGAAACCGAAAAAAGCACAGGGAATGGACGTCCGAGCGATGGCCAGGCATGCGGGTCTTGGACACGCCTCGCTTCCTGCACGGATGCAGCGAGGAGCGCTCGCGCAGCATGTGCTTCCGCTGTTCCAGACATTGGAGCTGGCGTCGACCACCGGGCAGCGAAGGCAACCCTGCATCTGCCCCAGAGAGCGGCCGACCAGCACGAACAGGTGACGAAAGCGGAGGAGCCATACAGTCGGGGCGCTGAAGAAGGAACCCTTTTCGTTGGGGAGGGGCTCGGGGTTCCTTCATTGTTCTGCTGTTTGCCCTGGGTTTTACTTAGGTTTCCCATGGGGAATCGAAGCTTAACTTATGGGAAAAAGGGGCCTCGTTCCTTATTGAGGGTTCCTTAAGTCAACGCCCCGACTGTACAAAAAACCCAAACACATCAAACATAATAATAACAAATACATCAAACATTAGGTAAAGCGGACGAGCCAGAACCGTTTCGTTGGGGCATCTCAGCTTGAGTCCACTTTCGCAGAAGAGCTGAAAGCAACTTGCCGGTCGGAGGAGGCCTTCGGCGCCTTGGCGGCCGCAGAAGTATATGCAGCCGCACGGAGTTTGCAATGCCAGCGATTGCAGAAAAGTGGAACCTCAATGTTGGCACGGAGGAAAACATCGAATATGCAGCCGCACGGAGTCTGCAATGCCAGCAATCACAGAAAAGTGGAACCTCAAGGTTGGCACGGAGGAACACATCGGGCAGACTTGCCCTTCCGGGTTCGTCAGTTGCAGGCGGAACGGAGGGCAGCCGATAGGTCGGGGAAGGACAGCGGACACCGAAACGCATCAGCAAGGGATTTAAGAAATAATGTCAGGAAAAGGCAGCGCAAACAAGAAACTATTGATGGCATCTTGCGAGAACTTGCCCGCATTATGATAATCTACCGTGTAGGCAAAAACTGTTAAGGAACAGCGGCGGATTCGCGTGACAAAAACAACGATGGTGCCGACATTTCGGACGCACAAAGCGTTGCAGACGTGTTTGCGACATGTCATGAAGATTTTACTCCAGCCAACACTGCCCAGGAAAAGCGGGCCAGACATTGCCAGCTACAGGGGATCAAGCGCGCAAGCCGCCAGTCACAATCGATGAGGTGAAGGGACAGTTTCGGACATTCAACCGCGGCTAGGTGTCTGACTCGGTCGGCATAGTCGCAGACATGTTTACAGCGGGGGGCCACTACTTGCCGGAGGTGGTAGCCCCCGTCTTGACATATATATATATATATATATAGATGTATGTATATTACGACAGATGGAGACGAACCCCCACAAACATGGAGGCACACGCACATCGAAGTGCTTTTCAGACAGAGATCCCAAGTTGCAGAGCAACGATCGTCCTATTTCATGTCTTCCTATCTTGTAGGCATTGTTTGGCATGGTATTGCACATGCGATTGTCGGCGCACTTTTCCGAACAGTAATCGGTGGACCTGGCTGGATTTCGCAAAGTCTACAGTTGCGACGGCCGTTTGCTAACTTCAGTTTTGCGCGAGAGCTTAACATGGAGCTCCGGGTGGCTGCAGGTAATTTCGGCAGGTCGTTCGATTCTTTCCACCATGCGTCAATGTGGGCATCCCAAAGCAAGGAAGGCACTCCTGACTCCTACGTCCGAGTGTTGTACACATTGTACGAGGAGCAGACAGGGCCGATCTTGTCTGAAAGTGCGAGTCGCATCTTCAGACCGGAACGACGTACTAAACAAGGGGATCCGATGAGCCTTGTTTTGTTCAATGCAGTGGTGGAGCCAAGCATTCTTGATCTCAGGCAAGGAAGGGCGAAGAAAAACTTTGGGGTGAAAATGGGGGTCGGACGTCTTACGAACCTCCGTTTCGTGGATGACATTGTGTTGATTGGGGTGACACGTGCGCAGATGCGGCACATGTTTCATGATGGAAGACCTGACAAGGCGCGTTGGGGAAGCTGGGCTAAAGCTGCACATTGGTGGAAAGACAACAGATGTTTCAAACGTTGCCAACTGACGCGGGATCTTGTCGCAGTTTCACGTGAAGGTCGGGGATGGCAAGGTTTGGGTACTTCTCGTGGGCGGAAGCGTTCCTACCTTTGGCGCAGTTTTTTGTTATCAGGATCTTTTCGACGTAGAAATACACAGCCGCATTGCGAAGGGACGGGGGACATCCGGCGCATTCATGGCAGCGCTTTGTAGTATGCAGTGCCTGTTGCGCTCCCAGCTTCGGTTTCTCGACTCTGTTGTCTCTTCGGTTGTTTTATATGTGAGCGGCGCGCGGGCCATGGTGGTGGCAAGAAGGTCTCAGTAAGTTCCAGGCCGACTTGCGGAAAATGCTTCGACATATCATTGCTTCGCCACCGAGAAGGGCAGCCTCAGCGGGGGGATTGGACGACCCGCGCGTGGATGGGATTTGCCGTGCAACCCAGAAAGCAGTGGGCGAATGCGACAAGGCAAGCTTCCGGATTTGGTTGCAGTCTCCACAGATCCGGAAAACCAATTTGGTAAAAAAGACCACAGGCAGCACGGATACCAGGTGGTCAGAGGTTGTGGTACATCGGAGTCGTGGGGGGTACCCCGCGCCGGGGCGGCTTCTGGGGCGCTGGACACATGGCGTCGGCATGTAAAACGTGTGGGATAATGAGATCTTGCTTGCGAGGAGCCAGATGTCGCCAGCAGCATGAACATGTGGGAGCACTTGTTATTGCGAGGAGCGAGATGTCGTCAGCATGTGAGAATCTGCGCGCCGGCAACCCGAGCAAGGCGCGCTCTGGCGCACGGGGGCTATTCGCTTTTTCGTTCGAGTATCGTTCGCTCCAAGTGACCTCGGGTTCGCGGCGCGCTCGCTGTGGGGTGTGAGCGGGGGGCGGCCCCCCAAACAACATCTACCAGCCTCGAACGTATCCCTATCCCTAAGATCGACTCGCCAAAAGGCGATGACAATCTTAGGGGTTCGCCCTCAAAATAATAAGGGAACCCCTAAGATTGGCATCGTGATGAGGAGGTGCCCAGCATAGGGATGGGGATATGTTCCAGGCTGGTAATGAGCGGGGAGCGCCCCCAAAACAACATGTCCTACCGTGTGGCTGCTGTGCTCGTGGGTCCTGTTTCTTTCCCGCGGCCCCCGCGCGCGCCCGCAGCTGGCGCTCCTCGTCTTCGTCACGGACCTGGTGCTGCAGATGGCCACCGACGTCGGCTATCCTTGCAGGCCGTGCCCCCGCCCGTGCGCGCGGGCGGAGGCCGAGGGCCCTGGGCAACCCGCGGTGCTCTTGGCCTCGCCTCGCGAGTTCGGCCTTCGGCCAGGTGCCTGGAGTGCCGCAGCCCGTCTGGCGCCGGAGGAGGCCCAGCGTCCGAAGCGCGCCGCCGGAGGGGAGGGCCGGCCGAACTCGGCATCACACCCACTCCCGTCTCCTCGGACGTTTTCCTCTCCCCTGTCCCCTTCTCCTCGTCCGCTGTTGCCAGGTGATTCCCCCTCCTCCTCCTCCTCCTCTCCCTCCTTCTCCTCCTTCTTCGTCTTCCTCCTCGTCGCTTCGCCTTCCCCAGGGGTCCATCTTACCTCCTCGCGTGGGTTCGTGCAAGAGGGGCGTGGAGAGGAAGGCTGGGCCTGACACCTCTGTTGGGGATGGCCGTGGCCCT